TTAGAATAGAATAGAATAGAATAGAATAGAATAGAATAGAATAGAATAGAATAGAATAGAATAGAATAGAATAAAGGATAGATTAGAATTAGAATTAGAATAGAATAGAATAAGGGATAGAATAGAATAAGGGATAGAATAGAATTAGAATAGAGTAGAGTAGAGTAGAGTAGAGTAGAGTAGAGTAGAATAAGGGATAGAATAGAATAAGGGATAGAATAGGATAGGATAGGATAGAATAAGGGATAGAATAGAATAGAATAGAATAGAATAACAGAGTTGGAAGGGACCTTGGAGGTCATATAGTCCAACCCCCTCATCAAGCAGAAGAATCTATCCCATTTCAGGCAAATGGCTGTCCAGTCTCTTCTTGAAAGCCTCCAGCGATGGGGCACCCGTAACCTCCGAAGGCAAGCCGTTCCGGTGGTCGGTTGTTCTCACCATTGGGAAATTTCTCCTTAGTTCTACAGTAGTAGGTTGCTTCTCTCCTTGATTAGTTTTCAGTCATTGCTTCTTATCCTGCCTCCTGGAGCTTTGGAGGATAGGTTGGTCTCCTCTTCTTTGGGGCAGCCCCTCAAATATTGGAACACTGCTCTCATGTCTCCCCTAGTCCTCCTTTTTATCCAACTAGACATACCCAATTCTGCAACCGTTCTTCGTATGTTTTAGCCTCCAGTCCCCTAATCATCTTTGTTGCTCTTTTCTGCACTCTTTCCTAGAGTCTCAACATCTTTTTTTACACCGTGGCGACCAAAACTGGATGCAGTATTCTAAGTCTGGCTTTACCAAGGCCTTATAAAGTATCCCTCTGTTTATGCAACCTAGAACTATGTTGACCTTTTTTTTGGCAGCTGCTGCACATGGCTGGCTCCTATTTAAATGGTTGTCCACTAGGACTCACGGTCACCACCTATACTGAACCTGTGCGTTTTTGTTTTTCTTACCTCAGTGTAGAGCCTTCCTTTTTCCACCACCGAATTTCATTCTTCATTCTGAATCTCATTCTTTTGAACTGACTCGTTCTAGGACCCAGAAGAGGAAGCCACTTGTTGGTAATGTGATATAAATAGAATACCCAAATGGGACAAAGTTTGAGGAGAAAGTCTGACATCACTTTGATTTTGCTCTACACTCCGTCGGGACAAGGGTGGAGGTGTGTATCCCCGAGGCTGTCAGGTTTTCCTAAGAATGAACAACCTCTCACCACAAAATCCCTCCCTCTGTTTGCCCCAGAGAAGAAATATTTAAATACTCTCCAAGGCACCTTCTTCTCTCTTTCTCTCTTTTTTTGGGGTGTGTGTGTGTGTGAAAGCAAGCCGAATTCCATTTCCACCCAGTGACATCTGAAAGCAAATCTAAAAAGGCAAAACCGTTAGCGAAAGTTGGAGAAGAGAAGCTTGCATCTGCAATCATCCCCAGTTTATTCACCTTTTTCCCCCGTATTCATTATTCCTCTTCCTTTTTTCCCCCTTTTCTTTCTGGAATGGATTTATCTGACACAGAAGAACTCCACGTTTTGAAACCTTAATTCTTAGACCTCAGGGAAGAGTTGGATTTCGTTTCCTTTTTTTTACTCCCTTCCCACAAACCAATCGACAGAATGGTCTTGTTGTACGGATGATTAGAAGACACCCTTTTGAAAAAGAAAAAAGACAAGACCAGATGATGATGGAAAACTGGAAGTTTTATTATTAATGATATTATGAATACTGTGACCTGAGATTTCATCCCAGCGTCGTATTTTTCTGGTTTGCAACAGGATCATGGCAAATTGGCTGGTGAAGCTTTGCTATCTCTTTTTGTGGATTTTATTTCAGGTAATGATCTCAAAAACCTGTGGCCTTTATTATTCTCCCTCTCCTCTTTTGGAAATGTTTACTGCTCTGAAATCTATTCACGTATCTGTTATATATTTTTTAACATGCAGGTTTACAGGACTCGTACTTGGCTACAAAAAAATCCTGGTAAGGAATCTTTGCTATCTCGAAACTTTGAAAAACCTTTATGGTTGCTGCATCCTTCTCCTTTGACTTCCCCATCTCTCACAAAAGCATGCTTAGATATATTGTTGAGGAACATCAAATGCAACAAGAAATAGCATTGAGAAGGTTGTTGGGTCTCAGAAAGACAGGGGCTTTGTTTTTAGGGCTTGAAAGTCAGTGGAGGAGGAATTTGGAAGTTCTCAAGAAGGTCTCCAGAAACAGGGATGTGCTGGCAGTGCTAATCTACCGGGCGCTGTGAGTTCAACTCTCCACAGAACCGCAGTGTACATTAGGCAACTCGGCAAAGATTGGACAGTAAGCAACTGTCCTAACACAAGAAAAATGAAGGAACTATTAATGCTAGCAAACAAATCCCAGAATACATTTTAAAGCAGGAATTGTGAACTGGTACCTTTTCAGCTGTGGCTGAACTGTACCTGCCTTTTCTGTCTCACAATGAGATCCATCTTTGGTGCCTGGCCAAACAATTTTGGCACCATGGAGATATTTTTAATTTTTCTATTCTGGATCCCAATGCTAAATTACCAAGTATTAATATTTTTTAAAGGTTTTCCTTTCAAATTCAGCTTTAAACTGACTTGTCTGAAAGTCTGCTTCCTCTTGTTATCTCGGTTTGATTTTTGCAATAAACAAAAGGGAATGCGGGTTTATTAAAATGGTTTACTTTGGGGCCAATTCAACTATTAGGTAACGCGAGCTTCTAATTTTGAGATTGGATGATGTTTAGAGTCCAGTAATACTGAATTTTCTCATGAAAATTACTAGCCTTTTTCTCCCTGTCCTAATTTCTCTAAACCAAGAGTGATTATTTTTGTCCATGATAAGCACTTACAAGATGTTGAAGTAGCTTTTATGGGAGCGGAGGCTAAAACATAAAAAAGAATGTTTACAGGAATTGGGTATGTCTAGTTTAATGAAAAGAAGGACTAGCGGGGACATGATAGCAGTGTTCTAATATTTGAGGGGCTGCCCCAAAGAAGAGGGAGTCAAGCTATTCTCCAAAGCACCTGAAGGCTGGCCTAAAGTAATGGATGAAAACTAATAAAGGAGAGAAACAACTTAGAACTAAGGAGAAATTTCCTGACAGTTAGAACAATTAACCAGTGGAACTCCTTGCCTCCAGAAGTTGTAAATGCTCCAACACGGGAAGTTTTTAAGAAGAGATTGGACAGCCATTTGTCTGAAATGGTCTAGGGTTTCCTGCTTAAGCAGGGGGTTGGACTAGAAGACCTCCAAGGTCCCTTCCAACTCTGCTATACTGTTGTTTTACTCCCTTCCTAAGCATAAAGCTACCTTGGTATTTAATTCTAAAATGGAGAAACTAATGGTTCCTACACCTATTTTAATTGAAAGAGGATCTGTCTCACCATTTCACTTCCTACCTCATGGGCACCAGCCTCCATAAATCACAGGGAGGGGCCCAGTCATCAGAGAAAATAAAATTGTGGTTTATAAGAGCTTGGAGACTTGCATTTTTACAAGATTTCTGGAATGCTTTGGCAGCACACTTTCATCGCTCCGTTGCTGTTGCTACTTGCTTACAAGGTCTTTTTTTTCTTTTCTTTCCCCCTTTTAATCCACAACCATATTTTTTTTTAGCAAGCTTTCTATCCCTGTCCACACTCCCTTCTGAGTTGCCAGGAACTGAGCAAGCCATAAAACTAAAATTTAAGGAGAATCTATTACATACGCCAATCGTTGCAGGAGCATGCTAAAAATATTCGTGGCAGGAAGCCGACTGTTTTTAGGCAAAGCTGAGAAACCTGTAGCAAACTGGATATTGCTGGACACTGACTCCTATTAGCCCCAGCCAGGATGCTCCAGGGTAGAGGATGATGGGTGCTACCGCCCTCCTCCTTGTTTCTGATAGCAGTGCATTCCGTTATTCTAACCATGCAGGGTTCCTCGCTGAACACCTGAGAGCAAAGATTTACTATTTCCTGCTTCTCTTTACCAGCTCAAGATTTCTACCTCACTTGTTGTTGATTTAACACTTGTGTTCTTGAGTGTTTATACTGCACATGGAAGTATTTAGTCAGCTTTCATAGCTACTGCTTGTATAATCTCTGCTTCTTAGGGCTGAGTTCTTTCAGTGTTGAGTAGAAGGACTGTAACTTGGTAGTAGAGCAGGAGGAGACAGGGAAGGTCTGAACTTCATCCGTTTTTGCCTCCCGTGGCAAAGTCCCCATGTTCCATCCTTACCGTATTCACACGTGCGTCTTTGTCCAACCCGATGGTCTCCAAATGTATTGGACTAAGGACCACTTCCATGTTGGTGGGAAATTCTGCATACACAGCTCAGGAGAAGCGTCATTTAGGGCGAGTGAAATCACGTCTAGCCTTGATTTCAAAACCATCTTTGGCTTGGTGCCTCGCTGCCGTTCTGCCATCAATGCAATGGGGAAAGGAGAGGGAAATGGGGGAACACAGGGGCAATAAATCTGTGTGCTTCAAAGGTAGGAATTGGGAGGGGGGAGGGGAATAGTTGAAGAAAAGCATAGCCGTGTGGAATCCGGTTCGTGCCAAGCTTCTTCAAGGCTGTTTGCCCTGAGTGTGGGATTTCACCAGCCTAAATACCTCAGCATTTCCCAAAACATCTCAGCGATGTTGCTTGACAAAAGATGGGCTGGTCATGGAGGGAGGACTTAGATATTGGAACGCTGCTATCATGTCATCCCCCAATCCTTTTCGTTATAGCACTAGAAATAGCACTTAAACTTATATGCCACTTCACAGTGCTTTACAGCCCTCTCTGAGCGGTTTACAGAGTCAGCCTCTTACCCCCAATGATCTGGATCCTCATTTTACTGACCTCAGAAGGATGGAAGGCTGAGTCAACCTTGAGCCGGTGAGATTTGAACTGCCGAACTGCTGGCAACAGGCAGTCAGCAGAAGTAGCCTGCAGTACTGCCTTCTGACCACTGTGCCACCATGGCTCATACTAGATATATCCAATTAGCCTCTAGGCCCCTAATCATCCTTGTTGCTTTTTTCTGCACTTTTTCCAGAGTCTCCAACCTTAATTGTCACCTTGCTTTATCAAATGGTTCTTTGAAGGCCAACGACTTTCAATAATTTTCTGTGTGGGATAGGATATGCTTAGAATCTTCTCAAAAGATACTGTACATCGTATCAGAGTAAAAAAAAAGGAGGAAGGGAGGATACTTTCTCCCATCTTCAGGTCCACGACCCAAGCATTTTTCAATTTAAAATTTAACTCAAGAAAACCAAAAATAGATCAAAGCAGAGGGGAGGGGAAGACAAACAGAACAATATAGTTTGAGTTACCCACAAAGGGAATGACCTTGGTCCTGCTGTATTTTCTTGATAGGTTTCCGTGTTCTCGCTCAAGCATCGCATTATTGGCCTCTGGAGACTGTCGAAGGAATTCGCGAATTAAAGGACACAGATGGAGGTAGCCTGAAGAAGGATGGTCTCCAAGAATAAGATATGATAACAATAGAAAAGAATATTTGTAGCTCAAGGTTGAACTTTGGACTCCTTGGTGCTATCAGAGCTTGGAAGTTTTCCTGCAGATGTTTCATGACTCAGCTGGGAAACCAAAAAAAAAAACCCACCAAGCTCAAAGAGCACCAAGAATTACATAATCTTCTTCCCCTTCCTCCTCCTCCTCCTCCTCCTCCTCCTCTCCCCCCCTGCAATTCCCACTCCCTTTCGAGCATTGGTGATGTCGCCTAGTTGGGTAATGAAACTGCAAGAAAAACAACTACGCTCAGGGAGCACCAAGGATTTCACAAGTTATGGTTTTTGTGAAAGCCATAGCATCAGAAGATGGAAAAGCAGAGGCTGTTGGAATACCATTTTGCCTTGAGCTGTTGATCCAGCGGAAAAATGAGAATTGGGACTCAACCACCGTTCCTTTCCCCCTTTTCCAGATGTGAAAACTTTCTCTCAGGCTAAAAGAAACGTTTTAGTTTGCTTCATGATAGAAAATGCTGTTGAAGTTGGCTGGCGGAGAGGAAAAAAACAGCAGGGACCATTTAGTTTCCAATTTATGTGTTCTATAGACCTATGTGTTGTATTGCATGTAACCATTTTCCTGTAGATGTATCTTTAAGTCAGATGGTCCCAAGACTGTTGCTCCGTGCAAGCCACTTGAGTTATTTCTGAGCAATCTTGAAATTGGACTGTATGCCTTGTTTTGGCAGTAAAGCCGGACCCCAAAGAGGAAGCAGATTTGGTCCATTGTTACCAGAGATTACTCATGCCTGGCTGTGATCTTGCACTCCAAATTGTGCATTTCTCAACCTTTGGGGGAGAGACCATCCATTGATATTTCTACCCATCCTTGTCATGTCTTTCCATCAAGCATTCATGCCATTCACACTGCCTTTGTCACTCATCGCTCTTTGAACCATCATCAACTTTGCCTGCCATGTTTATCCGTTTTGTGTGGTTGTATTTGGCACCTTCCAGGAAGCCAATTCCAGTTCTGTCTCTCTCAGTGGCATGCCTTTTTTTGGCATTTTCAGCTTGGCTTCCAGACAAGATCCCCCGTACGATACTCATGTTAATCCTTTTGCTGCAACAGAGCAATTGCAGAACAGAATTTTGTCAGAGTATGCAGCAATCCAAACAGCACACAAGTAAATAATTCAGCAGGATTCATTTATAAAAGAAATTTCTTTATACACAATAATATACAGTATGATGCATGTATACAATACCCATGAAGCAGAAGTCAGTACCAGAACTCAGAATCCAGAAATCATAATCACAGAAGCTATATTTATTAAGGAGCTGCTTCTTAGTCACCCAACAGTTCCCATTGGCTTACTTCTTGTTATGGCTATCCCAGCTCATAATTTATTATGTACTGACAATTTTTTTTGTTAGCATAAAGGCTTTAATAGTGACAGACCATGAAACATAAATGGGAGATTCTGAATCTATTAGCAACGATTCCTTCTATTTCAGATGGTTTAAGTGATGGGTACTGATGGTTATGTGGCCATCGTGTTTATTTTTCTACATGCAAACATTTCACACATACTTACTAAACCTGGTTTTCATTTATCAAGGTCCAGTGGACCTTCTTTGCAAGTCAATCTTCAGCTTCAGAGACCTATGTGTAATTTTCTTTTTGTAAGACAGATGTTTCAGGAAGTGTCTTTCCTGTAATATTATTACTGAAGATTGTGGAGCGGGTTGAAGAAAGTTTAAGAAGTTTTAGGATGTATCCAATTCCCAGTGGGTTTTAGATCAGTATGGCTTACATTGGGGATGAAAAATTGTTGTCTACATTGGAGATGAAGAAAACTCAATATGTTGTCGAATAGCACCTTCTACGGTATTGGCTCCTAGATTTTTTTAGTCCAACAACACCCAGAAGACTATTGGATCCCAGATCCTGGTCTCCAGATGTTTCCCAGCTCTTGCCAGAGCAATGTGGTGTCATATGGGGGATTTTAATGCCCAAAAGATATTCAATTGTTAACTTAAAGTCCTTCCACCAAAAATGGGCTTAGATGATACGAACATGGGTAATCTTGAAATCTTTGCTTGGTGGAATCAAGTCTTTAGGAGTTGGAGAACAACCATCTTTCCCACCCGACATGAGGAGCTAGTTAAACCAGAATCAGACACCAAGGATTCAGTTGTCTTAAGCCTATGTTCTCCTTGCCTATGTGTCAGATTCTGTTTGGGTTTTTTTAAAAGAATGACCCATTGTTTCTCAAATAGGCCAGTTTAATTTTCCATTTGAGCTAGCTCTTTTCTAGCTATAACCCAGGCAGGTGGCATTTTTTGGCACGTTTTGCAATGATGTTGGTTGAGAGACATGATCTGGTTTGATTAATATCCGTCTTGCATATGTTCATGGTGTTGCTTTTCCATCCCATGTTTGTTTGTTTTCTTTTCTTCTCTCATGCAGTGCTAAGATCCCACAGCTTCACTGTGCTTCATTACCATAATTCTACTTTTGTTTATACCAATGATTCTGCCTACTCTAACTTCTCTGCGACCGTAGGTGAGAATTCTAGACGACCCTTTTCTATTTGGCCGTTCGGCTTTAAGGACGACTTTGGTGTTCTCCACGTCATTGTGAAGAGGCATTTGATCTTGATATCCTGTTTGGTTGGAAGATAAACTTCTTTTCTTTCTTTAACGTGGAACTAAAAGAAGGTTCGGGGCAGTTTCTTAGAGAACAGAAACTAAACAATCCAAGGGAAAGCTACAGAAGATCCCTTGAGCCCATCAACCTGTTCGATGATCTGATATTGTCATATAGCTGCTGCAGTTCTGGACTTGTCAAAATCCTGTAAAATGAAAAAACACAACCCTTATTTGTTTTGTGTTCCTGATTTATGCTTTAAAGTGATGCACAAGTCAAGCCGGCATGGGTCCTTCAAGAACCTCAGCCTCAAAAAAAAAACAAGCCAACTTTGATTTGATTGGAAATAGACCTATATTAACTCAACACCAGAAGTCCACAGTCTTTCATTCTCCTTTCAGCCAGCCTGTTTCTTGTTAGAGACCATGTTTCCTTGTATCTTTCTGCCAAATTTAGGGGAAACCCTGCCCCCTCAATTTGGGAATGGCTTCTCGTGAATGGCTGGAAGAAGAAGGATGTTTCCTGGTGCCTATGAAGATTCTTAGTCATCCAGGGTGTAGTTATCTCAAAGGTGCTTCCCGCACCACCCCCCCAAAAGGCAACTGGACTGCTTTTTCCTTGAGGAAGAAGTTTTGATACTCATCCAAGAAGCTTCATCAATTCTTCTTCACTTTCATTCAGAACTGGAGGAGCTTCTTGGATCAGAAGTGAAACATCTTCTTCAGAATAGAACTGGAAGGGACCTTGGAGGTCTGCTAGTCACTCAGAAGACCCCATACTATTTCAGACAAGCGGCAGTCCACTCTCCTCCTCCTCCTCCTCCTCCTCACCCTCCCCGCTGCCCGCTCCTCCTCCCCCTCCCCCCCCCCCCCCCCCCCTCCCCCTCCCCCCCCCCGCTCCTCTTCCTCCTCCCCATCCCCCTCACTGCTCCTCCTGCTCCTCCTCCTCCTCCACCTCTCCTCTTCTCCTCCTCCACCTCTCCTCTTCCTCCTCGGAAAAAAACAGTCCAGTTGCCTTTTGAAAAAAAAAAAAACACCTTTGACAGGATTCCTGGTATTGGGTGAGAAAAAAAAGTAATTACAATTTTTTTCTGGTCATCCTTCTAAGTGGCAGGGCCAACCAGAATATGTTAAAAGCTGTATCTCTCAATGTTTTTCTTCCCCTTTTCTTCCTTAGATATCGTAGAAGGGATCGTAAACAAAGGTGTCTATATCCCAAACATCAAGGGAGCAACCTTTCTCCTTTTTGGAAATTATCAAAATTCTTGCGTTATTAACCAAGAATTCTGCGAGCCTGAAGGTTAGTCAGACTTTATCCCCGTCGCCATGGTTTTGATATACATTCCTATTTTATTTTATTCATTTTATTCTTGCAACGTGACTGGAAAGGGGGAGGGGAGGGAAGGGGAAGGGGGAGAAGGACATTTCTCTGAGCTGCATTTTAAGGGAATCGTAAAATCTCTTTCAGGCATTAACGCTTATGCAAATTGCTGGTACGGGTTTACATCCAAATTATTTGCTTAGGAAATGGCAAAGCAGCCTGCTGAATAAATTATGCATAATTGTTTATGACTGTAACTAACCACGGGCTTAAAATAATGGCCCTAGGATTGGGAATTCCCTAGACAGGGTCCATCAAGAGTTTACAGCTAATGGTTTGGTTTATCAGTTTCCTCTGTGGATTGTAATCTCTTCCCCTTGGATCTGTCTTAATGTATCATCAAGGCATTTCCCCTTAGGACTATCTTAGCTTGTTTATGGGCCAAGTTATTAACTTTGCTGGATAAGAACAGGGCTGGCTCTGAGCATGAGATATCTCTAAGGATCTGCATCTATTTGCTTCTGTCAAGATCCAGGCTAACATCCCGTAAATTTGCTTTTAACGTTAGAATGGCTTTGTTAATCCATGGTGTTCTTCCCAAGATGACGAGGGAGGGACTTTCTCTCCAATCAAAACCTTATAATAGAACTTAGCCCTTAGACTTATATACCGCTTCACAGTGCTTTCCAGCGCTCTCTAAGCGGTTTACAGAGTCAGCCTATTGCCCCCAACAATCTGGGTCTTCATTTTACTCATCTCGGAAGGAGGGAAGGCTGAGTCACCCGTGAGCCTGGTGAGATTCGAACTGCTGGCACTGGGCGGAAGGAAGGAAGGAAAGGAAGGAAGGAAGGAAGGAAAGGAAGGAAGGAAGAAAGGACGGAAGGAAGGAAGGAAGGAAGGAAGGAAGGAAGGAAGGAAGGAAGGAAGGAAGGAAGGAAAAAAGAAGAACAATAGCAACAGCACTTAGACTTATTTACTGCTTCACAGTGTTTTACAGCCGTCTCCAAGCGGTTTATAGAGTCAGCCTCTTGCCCCCCCCAAATCTGGCTCCTCATTTTACCAACCTCAGAAGGATGGAAGTTGGGGGTCAACCTTGAGCCCCTGGCAGTCAGCAGAATTATCCTTCTAACCACTGCACCAACACTTACGGTCTTAGAATTGATATCCAGAAATATGATCATCACCATCATCATTTCACAACCTCATAATCTCTTGCGACACGGAGTCTGGGCCACTGAATGGAGCTAGCAGACTGTTTTAATGGCTGGGTGCCCTGCCTTGTCATCCAGAATTTCTATCCAGAAATATGATGGATGGCGATGATAATCCTGAGTGCTAATCCTCCTTCTAGAGGTCTGTGGATATTCTTGGTCAACCAGGTCATGGATGTCCCAAAGGTGCTGTGTTTTTTTTTTTCCCTACAGGCAACTGGACTTTCCATTTTTTCTTTGAAGGCTTTTCGCTTCTCATCCAAGAAAGCTGAAGAAACTTGTTGGATGAGAAGCGAAACCAGAGGTGGGTATTCAGCAGGTTCTGACCAGTTCTGGAGAACCAGTAGCAGAAATTTTGAGTAGTTCAGGAGAACCAACAAATCCCACCTCTGACTGGCCCCACCAACCCCCATCTCTTCTCTGCCTCCCATTGAGTCCCAGCTGATCGGCTGGGTCTTCTTTGGTTGCCCTGCACAGAAGAACAGAGCTGGAAAGCAGGTTAGTGGGGTGGGCAGGGAATGTAAATTTGCAGTAACTTCCCCTGCCACGCCCACCAAGCCATGCCCGCCAAGCAATGCTATGCCCACCGAACCACGGCCACAGAAGTGGTAGTAAAAAAATTTTTTTGAATCCCACCGCTGAGCGAAATGTCTTCAACAAAAAACCGGAAAAGTCCAGTTGCCTCTTTAAAAAGTGACTTATTATGACCATTTTTCATATTTACCACCTTTGCAGCATCCCATGGTCACATGATCGAAATTCAGGCGCTTGGCAACTGACTCAATATTTATGACATGTCCCTGGGGTCATGGAATATCTTCTGAAAAGCAAAGGCAATGGGGAAGCCAGACTCATTGAACTTAGCAACTGCAATTCACTTAACAACGGTGGCAAGAAAGATCATAAAATTGTGCCAAGCTCACTTAACAAATGTCTCACTTAGCAAGAAAAATGTTGAGTTCAGTTGTGGTTGTAAGTCAAGAACTACCTGTATGTATTTCTCTTTCTTTCTTTCTTTCTTTCTTTCTTTCTTTCTTTCTTTCTTTCTTCCTTCCTTCCTTCCTTCCTTCCTTTCTTTCCTATCTTTCTTTTTCCTTCCTTCCTTCCTTCCTTCCTTCCTTCCTTCCTTCCTTCCTTCCTTTCTTATCTTTCTTTTTCCTTCCTTCCTTCCTTTCTTTCTCCCCTTCCTTCCTTCCTTCCTTCCTTCCTTCCTTCCTTCCTTCCTTCCTTCCTTCCTTCCTTTCCTATCTTTCTTTCCTATCTTTCTTTTTCCTACCCTTCCTTCCTTCCTTTCTTTCTCTCCTTCCTTCCTCCCTCCCTCTCTCTCTCTCCATCCATCTATTTCTCCAGGTCTAAAAAATGCATCTTACAACTCTTCTTCTGTGTCTTCTGTTTCTATTAGGCGTGACTTTTTCCTTTTTCTGGAAGACTCAAGGGTATCAGCTGAAGCCTGCCCCGGCATATGGGGATCAGGTGCTTTCTAATCGATTTAAAGTCTTCTTCGGTGAACACAAAGGCTCCGTGGAACTCTTCAATCATCACACGTCCAAGAAGTGGGCAGCAAGCTTCATTTCACCAGGTATTCTTCCTCCTAAGATGCATGCATGCATTCATTAGAATAGAACAGATTAAGATTAGAATTAGAATAGAATGGAATAAAAATGAATAAGAATAGAATAGAATAGAATAGAATAGAAGAGAAGAGAAGAGAAGAGAAGAGAAGAGAAGAGAAGAGAAGAAAAGAGAAGAGAATGCAATGCAATGCAATAGAACAGAATAACAGAATAACCTTGGAGGTCTTCTAGTCCATTCCTCTATTCAGGCAAGAAACCCTATACCAGTGATGGTGAACCTTTTTGGCACTGAGTGCTGGAACCAGAACATGCACGTGCGTGCATGCGCTGGAGCACCGGAAACCAGAAGAGCAGCTGGCGACGGTGTGCATGCCCACACAGAGGGCTATGCATGCCACCTCTGGCACGTGTGCTGTAGGTTCTCCATCACGGGCCCTATACCATTTCAGACAAATGGTTGTCCATTCTCTTCTTAAAAGCCTCCACTGATGGAGCACCCCAATTTCTGAAGGCTAATCGTTGGTTAATTGTTCTCACTGTCGGGGAAATTCCTCCTTAGTTCTAGGTTGCTTCTCTCCTTGGTTAGTTGCCATCTGTTGCTTCTTGTCCTGGCTTCAGGTGCCTTGGAGAAGAGTTTGAACTCCTCCCTCTTCTTTTGTGGCAGCCCCTGAGATATTGAAACACTGCTCTCATTGTCACTCCTAATCCTTCTTTTCATTAAACTAGACATACCCAATTCCAGCAACGGATCCTTATATATTTTAGTCTCCAGTTCCCCTAATCATCTTTGCTTAAAAATACTTTAATTAATAGCTAATAATTAGTAGCTATTAATTAACGCAACTCCCAAATCCCCCAGCTCACCATGCTGGTTAGGGAATTCCGGGAAGTCAATCCTCACATCTTAAAGTTGCCAAGATGGAAACGGCCTCCCGGAACGCAGGTTGTCTTGCAACCAAAGTGTCTCACCCAAGAAATGGTCGTAAGATCAGTGGTGGAATTCTGACCTGAGCTATGATAGATGATTTATAGGCTAGAAAGTCTTTAACTAACAATAGCACTTTGATTTATATACCACTTCACAGCGCTTTACAACCTTCTCGAAGCAGTTTACAGAATCAACATATTGCCCCCAACAATCTGAGTCCTCATTTTACCGACCTAGGAAGTCAACCTTGAGCTGAGCAGGATCAAACTCCTGACAGCGGGCAGAGTCATTCTGCAATACTGCATTCTAACCACTGTGCCACGGCGAAGTAAGGCCTTGGCAAAGGAAAAAAACTAACAACAGAGCTGGAAAATTAAATAGCTTAATTGAAAGTGGGCGGAAATAAATGCACTGACCCATTTGGAAAACTGCCACATTCATAATCATTTATATGTAATTATCATTATATATCCATGGAGAACTGAGCAGCCTGATTCAGGAGGCATTAGCAATATTCTTAAAAACAACAAAAAGGAATTGAGCTGTCAAAACCACTCAGGTCACCAGAAACGTTAACGGTGGAAGACAAGAAATCCACTGTTGGTTTCTGCTGCTTATTGTGAGGGTTACATTAAGAGGATCTTGCAGGTCTGAAAGGATGCCTCTCCCCTCTCCCCTTTGCAGTCCAAGTAAGTAGGGAGGGTCCCGTCTGGGACATTTCCACCCCCCTTATTTCTTCTGCAGATTCAGCTGCCTCTGGTCTGGCCATTGCCCGGTCTTCAGGTCTTCTTCCTCTCTGCCAAGGTCATTCTCACATACTGTTACAATGACATCGCCCATTATAATGGTCTCCTCACCCTTGTGCTTTCCTGAATTCGGTGCCAGTTTGCCATAAACCCTAGGGGTGGGGGGTGGGGGGTGGCAACAGAGAGTGGGAAGACTTGGGAGGAAAGTGAAAGTGTCGGTTGGGACCGTATCGGTTGAAGAAAGCCTCTTCAGCAGTGGTGGTATGCTGCCGGTTCGCACTGGTTCTAGCGATCTGGTAGCACCAGTCAGTATTTGGCCCTGCCCCTTCCTGCCCTATATTTCCTTTGTTTGTGGCTCAGCTAATAGGCGCGGCAGAGAGGATTGCTGCGTCACCGCTATTTTACTTACCAGTAAGGTAAGTTTTCATGCTTAAAATGGTCTGTTTTAGAACACTAGTAAAATATTTTGAATTCCACCGCTGCTCTTAAGGCCATCTCTTGGGTGAGAGGCTGTGGTTGCAAGACAACCTGCGTTCCAGGAGGCTGTTTCCAAAACTTCTTCTTTGAAACTGATTGGACGATGGGCAGATGTGTCTGAGTGTTCTGGCCAAGGCTTCCTGAAGCAGTAACAACCACACGCTGTTCCCCCAAATCTTGTTTTTATTTCAACAGCTCTGAATTATATGCATTCAGAGTCCGTAATGAGTCCCAAACAGTTTGTGAACAGTCCAACAGAAGTCTGCCACAGTCTTTCAGGATAAGGGTGATAAGCACCCACCTTTATCTCCCTTGAAATGCTGCCAATGACTAGATTGCCAATTAGCTGTACAAGGCCAAACGGAGCATGAAGTCAACACGGAGCCCTAGATTTTAAACCAACCAGAATGAACAAAGTTGCTTCCTGCAAAAGCTCATGTTCCTTTGCTCCTCCTTTATGTCTTTTGGGAGGGGCCAATAATCTCCAAGCCTTACTCTTGAGTTGCCCCTTTTATCTTAACTGTTCTTACCTTCTGGCAGCTCTGTGCAAGCACACACTGGGAACAGGCTCCCCCTGTTCCTCTGTCTCGCTGATGTCAGATTCTGGAGGCTCCGGAGTCCACACATAACTCTCAGATGGCCCTGGCCCCATCTCTGTGTCGGACGCAGATCCCTCATCTGAGCCCTCCCCAGACTCCAGGACTGGCCCATATTCCTCCCCACTGTCCAACTTCGCCGCCAGCTCCTCAGGCTGCCGGTGGACCACAACACAGAGAAAGGGAAAGTTAAACCTAAAGTTTTGTCACACACAAACCTCAGTTGTGGCTTTGCTTTACTGTTATCCACTTGACCTTTAGTAAACTATACCTTTCTTGAGAAATGGAGCCAAGAATCGCTTATTACTGAAGGGTACGAGGGGAGAGAAGGCTGGACATTACCTCAATATCCATTGTTTTTCAGGTCCCCATTGGACTCACGTCCTGTTTACCTGGAAATCCAAAGAGGGCCTGAAAGTCTACATCAACGGGACTTTGAACAACGCTGATCCCCGTGGGGAAGATTTCTACAACTATGGGGACTCCAATTCCAACTTGCTGATGAGCTCTGAAGGCCGTCAAAGGAAGCGCCATCTCCATGGCTCCTTTGATGAATTCATCATCTGGGAAAGAGTGCTCACCGCCAACGAGATCAAACAGTATTTCACAGCTGCTATCGGTAAGTTTCGCTCCAGCAAGGCTGGAGTTGACTATCTTGTCTCGTTTGAACCTTGAAGGGAATGCTCAAAGTCCTTGGTGATATGACGGGAGGATTTCCACCGAGTCAGGAAACCTTAACAAGATTGTGCAACAACTGGATAAGATGTTGTGGCAGAGATGGCCTAAAACACCAGATCATTAATTAATCCTCTCATTTTGTGAGAGAAAATAACCTCATTTAGTATCTAGAGGTTAGTAGAGATGTGTAGCAGAGATGGTATCCAGCAGGTTCTGACCAGTTCTGAAGAACTGGTAACGGAAAGGTTGAGTAGTTTGGAGAACCAGCCAATTCCGCCTCTGACTGGCCCTGCCAACCTCATCTCTTCTCTGCCTCCCATTGAGTCCCAGCTGATCGGCTGGGTCTCCTTTTGTTGCCCTGCCCAGGAGAACGGAGCTGGAAAACAGGTTAGTGGGGTGGGGAGGGAATGGAGATTTTACATTATCCTTCCCCTGCCATGTCCACCAAGCCACGCCCATGGAACCGGTAGTAAAAAATTTTTGAATCCCACCACTGATGTGTAGAGTCTTCTGACATAATCTATACAAAATCAGGTTATTTATCCATCCTTCCTGGTGTATCTAACAGCATAATTTTATGGCAGAACCTCACCTTCACACCCCCACCATCTACTCATAGATGAAAAGGCTAGGAGTTTAATTTGGTTTTCCCAAAAACAAATGGTTTATCCTTTTGCTAAACCGTGGTCTCCATTGGGATTGTCATAATAGTCAAAACTTCTTGAGACTAACTGTCTCAAGAAGCCATTTCTCACAAGGAACTAGCCAGCCCAGATATTTACACAAGGCTTTGCATTTTCAGTGGCATTCTCTGGATACCAAAATGAATTTTTTAAATGACTGTAACCTTGTTGCTTGTATCCTAACAATTTATATTGACTGTTTCCTAGTATGATTTGATTGCTTATTGTACCCTATGATTACTATTAAGTGTTGTATCTTATGACTCTTGACTCTTGACGAATGTATCTTTTCTTTGATGTACACTGAGAGCATTTGCACCAAGACAAATTCCTTGGTCCATTTGCACCAAGACAAATCACACTTGGCCAATAAAGAATTCTATTCTATTCTATTCTAGTCTAGTCTAGTCTAGTCTAGTCTAGTCTAGTCTAGTCTAGTCTAGTCTAGTCTAGTCTCTCCATTTCTATGTCTTGTCCCTTCCAATTTATCTCTTGTACGCCCATCTTCTCTTCCACTAAATCTAGACAACAAAATGAGAATGTAACTTAGCAAGATTTCAAATTAAAACGAATGCTGGGGCAGAGAAGTGTGACCATATTGTGGTTAATTCCTAAAAGCCAAAATTGAGAAGAACTTAATCTACAGGAAAGTACTTCAGGGAGGTGATACTCCTGAAAATAATTTTTTTTTTAATCATAGATAGGCTGGTGGTGTCAGCCATCTGTTTGTTCAACATCAGGGGAGGATGTTAGCTAGTCTCACATTCAGCCGTGCAACTTTTCTTCTGGATAACACCAAATTTTATCCTGGATTATAGCCCCCGCTTCCCCAGTTCTCTGTACCTAGGGGGAAAGTCATGGTTAAAGTTTCTCCTTGTGGTTTCTAGGTGACCAGTCTCTGCTTTCTTCAACATCTCCCTGGGGATGGCAAACAACAGCCACACTTCCCATGGTAGGTGCATAACTTAAATTCTTTCTGTGACATTGCCAGGTTGCTTATGTTAGAGGTGGAAAAACGTTATATCATTCCAAGATTCCAGCCAGCTGAAATAAGAAGGAGAAAAGTAACCTACAAGTTTTGATGTTCATGTAAAGATTAATTTTGAGGTCAAAATCTGTGCCAAATTATGTTTCCCGTTGATGTTGCTCCATTTCTGGATCCATCTATGAATTGCAGGGAGAAAATGCCTCAGAATCTGAACATACTGTGTTCGGTTTGACTTAACCTTTCCATATTTGCACGCGACTTTCTCTAAAATGCATAATTTGTACATATTGTAGTGTGGTAGTTAAGAGGATGGACTTGCTCCAGAGACGCCCAGGTTCAGAATTATAGACGGGAGCTGAAAGGAAAATGGAGGCAACTATGGGACATTGTGAGATTAATACTTTCTTCCAAGCTGCGTCAGTCAGAGAAATGAACTAATTTGACAGTGGAATTTTCTCAAAGGAAAAGTTGTAATAAAAGTTTAGAAATTGGGTTCCCCCAGCATCTGAATGGCATTTTATTCCATTTAAAGTGGAAGCCACCTGTCAAGTTTTATTGATGGCTTGGAAGGCCTGAAGGAATATTTGTAAAATAAACTGAATACAATGAATTATCCGGGAAGTTGAATTTTGGAGGGAGGACAGAACAGATTTCCTGGTCAGCCCAGATCCTGAAAATAAAGATGAACAAAATAAAAATAATTATCTAGTAAATGTACCTTTAGGACAAAGAAGAGGCTCGTTTCCTTGGTCAATGTTAAGTCAGTGCCGTTGTTGAAGAAAAGGACATTTTATTTCAACTCATGAAGAGAAGAACCTTTCAGTGCCTTGTTATTTTATGCTTACAGCTTTCCATAAATGCCTACCAATCCATCATCATTAATCTCACAGAGGAAAAACGTAGTGTCCAGGACCCATATGTCATGTTGGACTACCTGAAAAACATTTCAAACGCCTTGCCTAATGAATCTCTCACGGCAAATACTGCCTACCATCTTACTGAGGTAATTTTTCTTCATCTCTTAATCCGTTTATTGAGGCCATTTCCAAATTTACAGAGGCAATTTCCCCCCGTTTTTTAAAAAAAATCAGCCCTACGAAGGTAAGTTAATTTCATCTGTTAATCAGCTTACTAAGGTAATTGATCCATTTATAGAGGGAAACATCCTTTAATTATTAGTGAAATGCATGTTATTTAAGAGAATAACAGAAGACCGTATGCAATTTCAGACAAAAGGTCTGAATCTCTTCTTGAAGAACTCCAGTGATGGAGCACCAACAACTTTTTAAGAAAGCTGATTAATTAGCTCTCACTGATTAATTGTTCTCACTGAAATTTCTCCTTAATTCTAGGTTGCTTCACTCATTTAATTTGGAGTGTTAGGGACTGCACAGATCCCAAACAGTTTCTGAAGATTGCAAAACCTCAAAGGAACATATGAATATGTATCAGCAAGCAGTGTCAGTGGATTTAGGGCTTTAAAAATATTTTGATGTTGAGAAATATAAAGCATAATTCTATTTTTGATGCTTCAAAGCTTTTAAAAGAGTTTCAGTATTTCTTGGAGACGATACAAACTGACTTTATGGAAATGCGGCAGACATGTCTTGTGGGCACAGCCATGCAGAAAGAGAAAGTATGAAACAGTTTTACATTAATGAAGAAAACGTGAAACTCAATTCCCCACTTGCCGTACTGAATTTTCTAAGATGACTTTGGTATAAGTAGGCCTGAAGTCCTTATGGAAACTCATTTGGTTTCAGAAAACAGGCATTGGAATCCTCTATCATCTACCTACCTACTAATCTATCATTCTCTCATATCTCTTTCTCTCTCTCTCTCATTCTCTATTTATTTATCTATCTATCTATCTATCTATCTATCTATCTATCTATCTATCTATCATCTATCAATCATTCTCTCATATTTCTTTCTCTCATTCTCATATCTCATTCTGTCTCTCTATTATCTACCTACCTACCTACCTACCTACCTACTATCTATCTATCAATATATCATATTTCTCTCTCATTCTCTCACATCTCATTCTCTCTATCATTCTCTCATATTTCTCTCTCATTCTCTTATATCTCATTCTCTCTCTCTCTCTCTCTTCTCTGTCTATCTATCATTCTCTCATATTTCCCTCTCTCTCTCATTCTCTCTATTATCTAAATATCTATCCATCCATCCGTCCACCCATCCAACCATCCATCCATCTGTCATTCTCTCTCTAATTTTCTCTATCTATCTATCTATCTATCTATCTATCTATCTATCTATCTATCTATCATCTCTCTCTTTTTTTCTCTCTCCTCTATTATTATCTTTCTCTCCTTCTATCTCTCTCTTTGTGTCCACCTATCTTCCATTTACCAATTTATTTATTTAAATGTTTATGTAGCCACCCATATTATAATAAACTCTTGGTGGCTCCCAATCAAATCTCTCTCAACAATATGTGAAGAGAATTGTCCTTGGTTTCTGTTGGGAATGCATAATTTTCAGGAGAATCACACTAAGTAAGGGATGGTGACACTGATAACATCACAGCTAGTAAGCTGTCTCTGTTTATTTCTAGGTTTTTTTTAAAGTGGTGGAAGGAGTTCTTAAGATACCTGTTTGGATCAGCATGAACCACGTAAGAATAATACTTTCCCAAGACCTTATCTGGGTTTTTTTTTTTTTTTTGGAGTCAAGGCTTCCATCACTTGCTTATCACTTCAGCTTTGTCATTGCTGCTTTCAGACAGCGTCCCTTGCCGGAGGTCTGGTGTCCACCATTGACAGTGTGACGTTGCACGTTGCACACAATCTGGGAGGAAGTCCTTCAACCATAACAATCCAAGGCACTTCACCTGTGGCAGGTGAGATTTATTAGGCCTCTGTCCGGATTTGTTTTCCAACACAGGAGATGAGTAATTGAGCATAAGCCACTTCTGTGGCTTTTTGCTTACTGACATGAACTTTTCCTTTCCTGTTTTCACTGGGATGGAAAGTTCATCCCTCTTTGAGGAACATCTAGAAGGAATATAGGAAAAGAAGGAAATACAAAAAACAGAAAAGAAACGCCAGCTTCGGTTGACTTAGTTCAGGTGTTCCAAAGTGGGTTTTCTTAAAACCTTTAACAGATTAACAAAGTTGCAAGGGACCTTATAGGTCATCTAGTCCACCCACCCACCCAGGAGACCCTACACCATTTCTGACCAATGGCACTCCAATCTCTTCTTGAAGGTCTCAACTGATGTCTTCCGAAGGCAACTTCTGTTCCATTGGTTGATTGTTCTCACTCTCAGAAAATTTCTCCTTATTTCCAGGTTGAATCTCTCCTTGATCAGTTTCCATCCATTATTCCTTGTCTGGCCTTCAGGTGCTTTGGAAAATAGCTTGACTCCCTCATCCTCTCTGTGGCAGCCCGTCAAATATTGGAAGACTGCTATCTTGTCTCCCCTGGTCCTTCCTTTCACTAGACTAGCCATGCCCAGTTCCTGCAACTGTTCATCATATCTTTTAGCCTCCAGTACCTTAATCCACACTCTTTCTAGAATCTTTTTTGTAGTGTGGTGACCAAAACTGGATGCAGTACTCTAGGTGTGGTCTTACTAAGGCTTTGTAGACTGGTATTAGTACCTCACTCGATCGCGGCCACACACTGCTGGCTCCTATTTAGCTGGTTGTCCATCAAGACTCCAAGATCCCTCTCACAGTTACTGCTATTAAGCCTGGTTTCACCCAGCCTATATGTGTATTTTTGGGCTTTCTTGCCCAAGTGTAGGACTTTACTTTCCTCTACATTGAATTTCTTTTTGTTAGATACAGCCCAATGTTCAAGTCTATCAAGATCCATCTGGATTTTGAGCCAATCTTCTAGGGTGTTGGCTATTCCTTCCAGCTTATTATCTGTAAATTTGGTAAATTTAGTCGTTTATGAAGATATTGAAGAGTCCTGGACCTAAGACAGAACCTTGTGGTACCCCACTGCTTACTTCCCTCCATGTAGACATAGACCCATTAAAGACTACTCGTTGAGTACATTGAGAAGATCTTGGCCTTCACACAGGCATTGTGTTGTCGCCTGATGACCTCTCTGGTGGATGCATCTATCAAGCATCAGCCATGGTTCTTCCAGGTCTGTTTGCCTTGTTCTGGAAGCAGATTAAAATTCCGCACTCAGCAGCATAGATCGAAATGTAAGCTGCCGAGCTGACACTGCTGCACTGAGCATCTCTGCCGGTTGCCACAAAACCTTAGAGAATACCAAACAACAAAAGCCACATTTCTCCCTCTTTGGATCCCTTTTTAAAAATATTTTGCCTGTTGCAAAATGGTATAGTTCCTTCTTCTTTCCTGATTAAAGCTCCAGAATATTTTCCCCCCTGCTGGTTTGCTTCAAAAGACTCTGATTGCTAAAAATGTTAAAAGAACAGACCTGGGGGGCTCAACAATAAGCAGGAATTGAACAGCCCCCTTTCATTTAAGCAGGAAAAGTGACTAACTGGTGGTTTTGCTCTCACTTTCCTTCGGGTTTTGATTGAGTGTTTTGCGTTATTATACAGATTATTCCCTGGTTAAAATGCCTCCGCAGCTCCCGGATGTGCCTCAATATCGCTTCCCATTACAAGGACAAAGTTACATTACTCTACCCGGAGAAGCTTTCCAATATTCAGGTGAGGGAATACTTTAGTACAAAAAAAAAAAGAAAGGTCAAATCTGCTGCCTTTGGCTCTCTCCCGCCAGGCAAGGTTTTTCACCATATGGCTGGGGGATTATGGGAATTAACATCCAGCCCATCTGGTAGGCTGAAGAAGATGCCAGGAGAAACCAGTGGTTTTTTTTTTTTTTTCCTGAATTGTCCTTCTTCTGATCATCAGGTCAAACTTCATGTTTCCTTGTTTGGATTGCTGAGAAATCTGTTAATCGAGGGGAAATAACCCTGTCGCTTGCATCTTTACAATTTATATTGTTTTATTTGTTTCCTAGTGTGATTTGATTGCTTATTAGTAACCTATGACTATCACTAAATGTTGTGTCTTAAGATTCTTGATGAATGTATTTTCCCCTCTTTATGTGCACTGAAAGCGCATGCACCAAAGACAAATTCCTTGTGTGCCCAATCACACTTGCCCAATAAAGAATTCTATTCTATTCTATTCTATTCTATTCTATTCTATTCTATTCTATTCTATTCTATTCTATTCTATTCTACTCTACTCTACTCTACTCTACCCTACCCTACCCTACCCTACCCTACCCTACCCTACTCTACTCTACCGGACTCTATTCTACTCTATTCCCTTTCCCTATTCTATTCTATTCCCATTTCCTATTCTATTCTACTCTATTCCCATTCTCCATTCCATTCCATTCCATTCTAAATGGGAAACTGAGTTGTTCCTTGCATTGCAAAAATTGATACGGCCACTGGAAAGCAGCAGGTCCTGGTGATTTTAGTCCCCCCATTCTGCTTTGCCATCTAGTGGTCCTCGTGATTTTGGCAGCTCCAATCTAGATTTTCCAACAGGGGAATGAATTATTGAGCATTTTAATGACTCTCAATTGTTCCAACTGGTGACAAATTCACACCAATCCTTCCTATTGTTCAACCTTTTTTCCCACAATGATCTAAGGGCTGTAGAGGGGCTGCTCAGAGTCAGACCTTGGTATTATTTATTAATTTATTTAACTTACTCAATTTATATATCGTCTGACTATTCAAGAGGCTCTGGGTGTCTTACAACAGATAGAGCAGAAGTGATCAAGGATGAACAAGAAATAAAGTTATTGGCATCCAAACTGGCTTTAAATAGTGGATTTCACCTCTTGCATACCGAAATCCTGATGTTGACAATTTTTGCCTTATTTACAGCCTGGATTACAATCGTGGGTCTGTTCTACCATTCCATACATCAGTACTTCCATAGCATCAAACCGTTGGACACCAAGTAAGTTCCTTTAAAAGCACAACAACACGCTTAGTGATTATTCCTGAATACGAGACTGGATGTGTTTGCTTGGCTTCACACACAGGTTTCTCAGCTTCAACAATTTTAAGTTGTATGAACTCCTGGAATTCCCTAGCCAGATGGATGGATCGATGGATGGATGGATGGAGAAAGAGAGGGCGGGAGGGAGAGAGGGAGGGAAGGAGGGAAAAGAAAGAGTAAAGGAAGAGAAGGGGAGGAGAAGAGAGGAAGGGAGGAAAGGAAAGGGTGAAGTAGAGAAAAGAAGGGAATGGAGGAGGAAAGGAGAGGAGAGAAAGAAGAGAAGGGAAAGGAGAGGGAGGGGGGAGGAAAAGGAGGGAAGGAAGGAAGAAAGGAGAGGGAGGAAGGAAGGAAGGAAGGAAGGAAGGAAGGAAGGAAGGAAGGAAGGAAGGAAGGAAGGAAGGAAAGGAAGGAAGGAAGGAAGGAAGGAATTTTAAAACAACCCACTTTGTCTGATCCTCCTCAACTCTCCACCTCAGGACCCCAAAAGTTGCATTTCTCAAACTGCAGTTCCTGATGGAAACCTCCTTTTAAGGCAAGGACCGGTTTTTCCCAAGCCAATTATCTTGTGGACTGACAGCATGGCACTCAAACAAGAAAAGAAATCTGAGATTCTCACTGAAAAATGCTCAGACACCCTCTCTCAAACGCTTTGTACTTCCCTTTTAAAGGCCTTATCTCACTGAACTTTAAATCACAGGATGGACTCAAGCTAATTTAACTCTGAGATAGACTATCCTTCCACTTTCTCCAGAAGCCAAGGTCTAATTTACACCTCACCCAAAGCAGATAATGGCCTTAGAATCTGTTTGTATCTTTTTGCACTGACCCTGGATTTAAATGATGGAAACTTTGAGTTATATATCGCTCAAATTCCTCTCCTGACCTGGGAAATTTCCAAGCCGATTCATAAGGTATTTTCCACCTACGTTGCTTGTCAAAACTGATTTGTTTATGGAAGCAATATCACTATTGAACGAAATAGACCTAGGGAGTGGCTAATTTTTCTCTGCACTGCTGTGGCCTCACCTACAAGTTCTAGAAGTTTATTTAAAGAGGGTAGACCTGTTTGTGTATTGAATATAGGGTAAAGGTAACTTGGATTGTCTGTATAGATTCTCCGTCACCCAGGTCCTGGTTGTCCCAAGGAGGCTTTTTCAAAAGGCAACCGGACTTCCTTTGTTTTTCCCTTGAAGACATTTCGCTATTCATCCAAGAAGCTTCTTCAGTTCTGGAGAACTGAAGTACCAAAGAACCAAACTGAAGAAGCTTCTTAGATGAGAAGTGAAACCTCTTCAAGGAAAAACAACAACAAAGAAAAGTCCAGTTGCCTTTTGAAAAAGCAGCTTTATAACTTGGAATATGTTTCTTTCACAATCTGGACTACATTTTAGATTTCTAGACTTCCACTTTCAAAATTCCCTCGCCAGCATTGCCTTTGCTGAAAATTCTTTATTTTAAATATAATTTTTATTAAGGATTGTTGTTTTTTTAAGAAAAAAAGGAAGATTAAAAACTAATGCATACTAATATAAAGTGAGAATAGGAAAAGAAAACAGGAAGTAAAGAGAAAGCTAAAAGTGCAAGAAAGGAAAGAAAAAAGCCAAAGGAAAAAATATATATAAAAAGTCACTTCCAATCTTTTCTTTATACATTATAAGTACAATTATGAGTATTGCAAGTATAGTATACTATATGCTATAGTATACAATACTAACCCTGATGGTGTTACTTAGAGAGGATAATGAAACATCTGTAAGAAAACAACCAAACTCTGAGTTTGTTTCTCTCTCCCATTTTTTAATGAAAACATCTGGCTTCCTTCAAAAATCCTGTTGCAAATAGCAACGCTGAAACTGGTAAACTTTAATTGCTCTCACAACCCATCTTTCCATAGGGAAATCTTTTTTTTTTTTTTGTGCAGCAAAAACCAGAAATGAACGCCTGTATGATAAAAAAAAAGGTTTAGTAAAAACTCTTCCTGTTAACAATCATTTAAGCCTCCCCTTAGATTCCCTTAATCAAATAGCAATGATGTATTCGGCAAATGCCAGCTGTTAAATTCAGTTCTTGGGGTGGCGGGGGTGGGAAAACCAACCCTCCTAATTCCAAAACTTAAAAATAAAAAAAATGTTTGGCTTTTTACCATGCATGGATAGACACACACACACAAACGCTCCATCCAACTATCTAAGGAATGTTAGTTAGTCAGAGGAAGTGAAGAGAGCCAGGATGGTTCGTCAAAAAAAATGCATTTGAGCAATGCATTAGAGCAATGTGCTAATTAAAACTAATAATAAAATCTCCGTTGAATCATGTTCATGTAGCTTTCTTGGCAGAAAGTGATTTGCCAAGCAGAGTTGAGCAGAGTTGGTTTATGGTTAGGAAGCCATCTAGAAGTGACTAAGATTAAGATAGACAGAGATGTTGAAACACATCCCTGAGAGAAGGCAACCGTTTCCACACGGTCACCAAGAAAACTTTGCAGATAGGTCTTGAAGTCATTAAGAGTCAAGTGCCATTTTATAGTGATAGGCAGAGGTAAAGGTTCCCCTCGCACATACATGCTAATTGTTTCTGGCTCTAGAGGGTGGTGCCCATCTCCGTTACAAAGCTGAAAAGCCAGCGCTGTCCGAAGACATCTCCGTAGTCATGTGGCTTGCATGACTAAACGCTGAAGGCGCATGTAGTGCTGTTACCTTCCCACCAAAGGGGTCCCTATTTTTCGACTTGCATTTTTTTTTAACATGCTTTCGAACCGCTAGGTTGGCACAAGCTGGGACAAGTCACGGGAGCTCACTCTGTCACACGGCGCTCGGGATTCAAACCGCCAAACTGCCGACCTTTCTGATCGCATCCCTTTACAGTGATAGTGCCCCTCTATTTTGCACTAGTGGGGCCACATTTGGAAGACTGTATCCACTTCTGGTTGCTGTGATAAAAAAATAAAAAAGATGTGGAGACTCTAGAAAGAGTGCAGAGAAGAACAAGAAAGGTGATTAAGGGACTGGAGGCTAAACCATACGATGACTAGGTATGTCTAAATTAATGAAGAGAAGACTTAGGGGAGACACGATAATATCTTTCAACAGGATATCAATTTATAGCAATTAATGGGCCAACTTGCTTCCTGGAACTGTAGTTGTTAGAGTTTCCCATTAAAAGATTGGACAACCGTTGCCTAGGATCTTATAAGGACTTTTGTTTGGACTAAAGACCTCCAAGGATTCTGTAAGTGTCATTTAAAGAAGACACGGTGATGCTAATCCTGTTTTTGAGACTCAAGCAGATGCCACAATGGAAAAACTTCCCCCTGCCCTTAGATAAACAGCTTCTATTTTGATACCTACAAGGCGGACTAACGACCAACTCTTTTTTTTAAAAAAAAAGAAATAATACCCCTTTTCCTGGCCAGGCTCCAATTTCTCTAGGTTTTCCCTTAGAGGCTTTTTCTTCCTCATCAAAATCGTTTTAGCCTTTTCCCTCAAGGACAGTTGATAGAAAATCCTCACTTTTCATCTCATTTGCAAGGGGCCAAATATGCCTCCTTGAAAGTCCCGAAAAAAGCTGGATGTGAAATGTCAGGACGAAAAAAAACCCCCACCCAGATGTGTTTCACGAGCGTCACCTGGGAGCGAAGCCAGGCGAGAGCAAAGTCTAAACCTCCTGGGGTGGAAATAGAAGGAGGCAGATGGCAATCCGATTATTTAAACTTTGTTTGTCGAATGCTCCTTCCAGCTAAGAAAATATCTTGGCTGGATGGCTTCCTAATCACAACTTGTGCGCCTTTCAGTTTCCACTCGGCATCCTGGTTTAAATTATGATACCTCTGAGAAGGAAACTTTTTTTTTCCTGGGACATGAAGGGTCTCTTTCATAACAGGAGTATAAATAACAGACCAAAAGAATAATTTGAGGGGTGTGGGGGGGAAGAGAAAGAAAGGGAAACTATCTTCGAGCAGGAAAGCCAGAGGTGGTATTCAAACGGTTCTGACAAGTTCTAGCGAACCGATAGAGGAAATTTTGAGTAGTTTGGAGAACCGGCAAATCCCACCTCTGACCAGTGTCCAGTGATGGAGTACCCATAAGTCAAAGTATCCAGACTGCTGAGAATGGTTAGCCCCTTCATGAGCAGGGTATCACAAATAACCGTTCCGGAATTTGAATAGAACTGAAAAAACGTCTTCTAGACTGGAAGTTCTTGGACCTCACTCAAGGACAACTGCTGCCTTGTTGGTCTCTTTGAGAGCAATAGTTGGGCTAATCTGAGCGAGCGTGACGTTTTCTATCCACGAGGGATGGATTTTGTGTTTGTCTACGCAACCTCTGCCTCTTGGTTGTTATGGACGGTCATGAAGCATTGAAAGGGTGGGTTGATGGGGCCTGAATCTTCCATCACTCTGTCTCTCTAAGCTGCTGGGATGTTACACTTTCGAAATAAATATGGACTTGGGCTGCATAATTCTCATATCCATCACAAGATTGGTGTCTTTAATATTTTTTGCATGTGCTGTCACACCTACTGTGTGCCATGTTTTGGAGATGTTTTCTTCCCTTCCCTTCCCTTCCCTTCCCTTCCCTTCCCTGCCCTGCCCTTCCCTGCCCTGCCCTGCCCTTCCCATCCTTGTCCTTCCCTTCCCTTCCCTTCCCTGCCTTTCCCTTTCCTGCACTGCACTGCCTCCTCCCTCCTTCTCATTTCTATCTCCTTCCTTCCTTCCTTCCTTCCTTCCTTCCTTCCTTCCTTCCTTCCTTCCTTCCTTCCTTCCTTCCTTCCTTCCTTCCTCCCTCCCTCCCTCCCTCCCTCCCTCCCATTCCCATCTCCTCCCCCTCCCTCCCCAAACAATGATGGGTGTCTGATGAAATAAGCCAAGTAACAGGTCACTATTCACTTGTTGCATTAATTTCTCAGAATTCCTGAAGCTGCTGCCTGCAAGGAGTGCATGATTTTTGCCACCAGCTACCTTATCTCCTTGAGAATGGAGCCGCCACCAACTTTGTCTCACAATCTGTCAAGCTCTCCCCTCATCACCATCCATATGAAGCATCAACTGGTAAGTGATGATTAACCTTTCAGTATTTCTCCCACTTTTGGGTGACAAAAACCTCCGGGGCAGGGGGTGTCACGCTACATTTCCATGAAGTGTGATTCTCCAACCAACAACAACAACAACAAAAAAATTCAGGAGATTATTCTACAAACCATCATTTATAAACTTTTTAATTCTCACTGGTTCTCAGGGAAGCTGTGGAAAAGTCAAACTCTACCCTCATGTACGTAGTTGTTAGCTGCAGAGGGAAAATTGAGTTGGTGCAATTCTTGTCACTCTACCTTAATCAGTCTTGCTAAATGAGAATCATTTTTGGAAAATCAGTCGCTTTGGGTTTTAGGCAGAGATCAAGTGCTTGAAAACTATAGAAATATCAAAGACAAAATTGGACTCAAGAATTACATGTTTCAATACATGTTTAATTTAATGCAGCATAAGGAGAGTTGGGTATGTTTAAAAAAAAAGAAAAGCACTTGGATTGGATTTCTGTAGAAGCCAATTTCCAAAATCTATCCAAGTCAATTTAGGATGTTGAATGAAGTCAGACGGTGCCATCTTTTCTCTGATCAAAATTTAATTGTTGCCCTTTTTGGTTTTTGAATATTTGTCTGAAAAAGGACATGGGATCCTGGAAATATTAAACTAAAACACAGAGAGAGGGAAAGAGAGAGAGAGAGAGAAAAAAAGAGAAAAAAGACAGTGGAAAAGAGAGACAAATACAGAGAGAAAGAGAAAGAGAGAGACAGAGGGAAAGAAAAAGAAAAAATGAAAGAGCAAAAAGAAAAGAGAGAAAAAGAGAGAGAAAAGATAAGAGAAAAGGGGAGAGAGAGAGAAAAGGAGATAGAAAAAGCAAAAGAGAGAATTATTGATAAAAATATTGCTCTAGTAACAGTTATTAAATGAGCTGGGTTTTTTTTTTTTACAAATCCTCAGATCTTGGCAAGAGACTGTGATAGTAAAAACAAGGCCTCCGTATCAGCCCTACTCTGTTATGGAAGGAGAAATTGTTGGCATCTGGTTCAATAGACATATTTTCTGTCATCTGCAATATAATAGGATTACTAATTGATTTGCTGCAGATGCTGACTCTCAGGCACGAGGGTGGGGTAAATGAAGAACACAGATATTGATTTTAATTATTTTTTTTCTTCTCCCTTCCTTGGCTTGTGATTGTATGGAAAGTTTTTTTTTTTTTTTAATGAATGCCTTTCCCAGCATGCCTTTCTAGTCAGCCGAAAGGTTCTAACATCTGCACAATTTCTTGTCTTGGATAAGTCCACTAACTCATCCAGGTTATATTTGGTGAGGTGGTTTCCATGGGTTGAGATTCGAAATACTATCTCGTATTTCGAGGCAGGTCATCGAGATAGAATTTTATGGGCAGCAAAAGACAACCAACCATTTCTTCCATCTCAAAAATTTGTTGGTTGGTTCCAGTTGTGGCTGGGGAAACAACAACAGATTATCACAAAGGCTTTCTTTTTTCTTTTTGTCAAGTTCTTTGTTTTATACTATTTATATATATCAAATGCGTGAACAGTGTGATACCTGGGTATCATACATTTTAGTACAGATCAGTGGTGAGATTCAATTATTTTTACTATCGGTTCTGTGGGCGTGGCTTGATGAGCATAACGTGGCTCGGTGGGTGTGGTATGGTTTGGTGGACATGGTGTGGCTTGGTGGACATGGCAGGGGAAGGATACTGTAAAATCTCCATTCCCTCCCCACCCCATTAACCTGCTTTCCAGCTCTGTTCTCCTGGGCTGGGCAACAAAAGAAGACCCGGCCAATCAGCTGGGAATTGGGAGGCGGAGAATAGATGGGGGCGGGGCCAGTCAGAGGTGGGATTTTCCAGTTCTCCGAATTACTCAAAATTTCCGCTACCAGTTCTCCAGAACCGGTCAGAACCGGCTGAATACCACCTCTGGTACAGATAAACATAATGCTGTTACTCATAGTTGTTACATTTCATTTCATTATTTCATGTTGTTTAAACATATCTAATCCTACCACCATTCAATTTCTCAGCCTCCCTCTTTTACTACATAATATCTTGTTATATTAAAATATGTATATTGTTGTTCCCCTCTTATTTCTATTCTTTCTTATTTTCCCCATTAGTTCATTTAAACATAAATAACATTTCTTTTCACCTGATTTATTATCCCCTGCCTTATATTTAATATTTTGAAAATTGCTCGTTTTTCCACCATGCTTTCAATACCCCAAATATCCAAAACTACTGCACAAAGTTTTTGAATTGTTGGATTTATCAACGGGGGAAAATGGGGATTGAGTTACAGATATCTCAGCTATTTGATGCTTCTGCACTTTCTCTCTCTGCTGAAGGTGGGATTTCTGAATTCCCTTGGAGAAAATATTTGATAAACAAGGGAGGTGGCCGGCTATTTTTCTGATAATGGAAGAATGTGATGATATTCTGAGCTAGTCAAGGTTTTCAAACTCTTATCCATTTCTGGAGTTCCGAGAAGCTCGTAACATTGGGAAATTGAACCATAGTGGCTGATGCTGTGTATTTGCCTTCTCTAGAAATCAGCTTGCCACCAGAAGTTGTAGGGACTTCATCACTGGAGGTTTTCAAGAGGAGACTGGACAGTCACTTGTCTGAAATATTGTAGGTTCTCTCCTGCTTGAGCAGGGGGCTGGACTAGAAGACCTCCAAGGTCCCTTCCAGCTCATTTATTCGAATTGAATCCTACATCTAAAGTAAGGTTGTCCAACCTTGGCAACTTAAAAATTTGTGGACTTCAACTCCTGGAATTCCTCAGCCTGCCTCTTTCTTTCTTTCTTTCTTTCTTTCTTTCTTTCTTTCTTTCTTTCT